GGATCCAAATAGCCCCTTTTAAAACGTGCTGTGTAGCGCATACGGTATATTCAACACATTGCAGACGGTGGAATGTGACCAAAGGTAATATGTTATTTGGGTGATATTGTCTTAAAGTTACATCTTTGCATTTAAATAAAATGTAATACTTTGTATTTCTGCCGTTATTTTGGGTAAAAGATTGGTGGTGGTTGCACTAATTCAAACCACAATACGACCAACGAATGAATGAAGACAGATCCAAGTGACTCATGACAACGGACTTTGACTACTATCGGCCTAAACTAGGGATAAACAACTTAAAATGATGGAAGACGCCACCATTTTCATCAGCGCTACGGAGGGAGTTGGGGGGTGCAAAGTACCGCACACTTCCGAACCGGATGTAAGACACAAATGCAAAGTTTAACAATAACAAAATACGCGATTGTGTCAATGCACAAAATAGTTTCATCATATATTTTAGTTTTCAAATGCACACAGAAAAGATCCAAAAGATCAACTGCAGAAAATAACAACATAATGTGATTTCAGTCATATCCCCAACCGAAGACGCTGGCTTACTCACCTGCGTGATCAGTGCTAGGAAAGTGGGTCGTGGATACGTCCCCCTTTGTAACAAGAACCCATCGCAGCGGTTGCAGGTCCAGTTAAGCCATCATACGTGTTTGGGGCGGTGACAAAAAAAAAAATACAAAAATCACTTGTTGAAGTAATATTGAGATCAATGTTGTGGCAGCCATTTCCTTCCGCTGGATTCGGTGGCGCTGGTGAGCGATATCTGGCGACTCGTGGTTAACACTGGTATTACATCTTACAATGGCTCCGCAACAGTAAACTTTTTTTTTTTTTTTTCAAAAATTAATCGAAGGCCCTTCAAAGTGTAGATGAAGACCGCCAGTTGCCGGTTCCTGGCCTAAGCTAATAAAATGAAATGTAACTATGGTTATCCTCTTTTCACTCCAGGTTAGCAAGTTAATTTGAAATACACACGCTTTAAACCCACTTTGAACAGCAAAAAAAAATGTGTCATTGTTGACTTTTGTGTGTTTTCAAGTTGAATTGTTTGTAATGTTATTGAAGAATGTCCAATCAGAGAGTTGTGCTTTAACAGAGGAGCTTTACTTAACGCTTGGGAACTGTACAGGCAGTGTAGAGGTAACGTTGACACGTTGTTCTTTTTCACTTGCTCGAGGTCAGTTTCTATGGTCACCCGATAGCAGCTCTTTACGGCATATCGAACTGCTGTCGTAAAGTTCAATGCATGTAGTCTTTATATGACAGTGTTCGGAGCAATCCGGCCAAATTCCTCTTAAATTTCTGTGAATATCCACTCGCAATCACGCCCTGCTAAAAAAACAAACAGCAACAACCGGTATGGTTTTGTTATGTTTTCATGCTGGGCAAGAATAAAAACAGCAGCAGCCAAAATTCAAACCGCCCACCCCTTCTGTCAGTGAGCAACCCGCTCTATGAAGTGAGCCACATCCAACCAGTCGGACCAGCTTGTTGCCCGGGTCCATCCAGGAGCTGCTAATAGCTGGTGATTGGTCTTGCTGGGGTCACGACGTATCTACCAGCATTGCAGCAACAGCAAGAGACTGTTGTTGGGTGGCTTTGGCTCACTTGGTAGAGCGGCTTGATCAGTCACCCAAAATTCAACCATTTGGATCTTGCCCCCGTTTTGTTTTGCTTTTGCTGCTCACACCAGCAGGCCCAGCATGAAAACACAACAAAACTACACTGTTTATTTTAGTCGGGCCCTGCTTTGACAGGCCCAAACCGTTTCACGCCAAATGGTGAATTTCTCAATCCTTCCGGTATAACGAAACTAAGCACCTTCAAAAAGATATTATTGCGAGCATGACGAGAACACAGCTTCTGACAGTTGCTGTCCTTGAATCGTTCGCCTTTCCCACCATAAAAGTGGTTCCGATTCTATCAATGAGGGACGAGCACAGACTTGGTGTAAAATTGTTTGACATTCAAAAAAAAAAAAAAGCGAGCATTGAGCATCAGTCAAGCACGAAAGCGGCAAACATTGTTTACCACTTGCCTGTGGGATTCTTCACACGTTTCATCTTTGGCTTTGATCCCAATTTCCCAGAATGCATTGTTTTCATGCAGTTGTGAAGCCTTTCAGATGTGCTGTTAGATGACAGCTTGACGACAGCCTCGTTTTTATTCAAGTTGACATTGTTCAAAACAAGCGAATAGGCAAGAAAGAAAATAACGTTTATTGTTCATAGGGAATACATTTCATGGTATAATAGCGATAATATTATTGGCAAAGATACTAATATCTGATTGCATTTTTTTTTATACATAAATACAAAATTGGAGGTAGGGCCTCAAATGACAAGTGAAAATAAATGCATTTCACATATATCTTTTATATCCTATTCTTTTTTTTAAATATCTTACACCAATTCTAAAACATATACAGTATATTTATATTTTTATATATATGTATAGATATATATCTACTCTATTTCTAAATCAAATGATGTCATGTTGGAGGCACATATCTATATCCATAGGCAGCTGTGCCTCACAGAGAACACGCAGAAATGTATGACATTACTCAAGTAATTAGAAATTTAACCTATGCAGGTCATAGGTCACAGTTTCAGTGCCAAACCGACACATACAGACGTAACGATTGAAATACTGACGGGACAATAAGCTTCTCTGTGGTGATCTATCCGAAATACATACATACGATATTGTACTAATAGTAGACACCTATAAGGCCAATGGTTACCTGAAGATGTTTTGTAACGTATTGGCAAACACCCAAGATATACTGCATGGAACATGTATGGCAGTAGCTAAACCCCCCTAGACACAAATAACATGAACCATTTTTCTTTACATTTCTATTCACACCCCCCTCCCCCCTAGCTTTGGTTACTGCCAGAAAAGTTGACTTGCAGGCCAAGTCGTGAATGAATTCAAATGATCGAGTACATTTTGTTTCTGCATCCTCTGATCACTTCTGCCTCGTGTCAACAAAAAGCTCACTAATCATGCATTGACAGATACATATTGAGTGAGAAAGAAGTCACTATCTATGGACATTGAGTTGAGCAACACAAACTGCGCATGCGAGCTTATTAGTGTTATATTTCATTAAGCTATGGGGATTTTGCACATTTTTTTCTCCCCCACCCCTCTCGGATCAAAGTAGAGGACGTGACATACAAGGACACGGATATTAATGTTGCCCTTTAACCCATTATAATACAGCTCTGCACAGAGCACACAATCCGCGACCTTCCCATAATAAACTGTGCGCTTGGTTTGTCTTTAAACGTGTTGACTCAAAGTTTCATGATTTGGGCCATTGTGGGAAATAGGGTGGGTATTCCTGCGCATCTTTGCTCTCCTACTGCCTTGCAAACATCTGATTGATAGTTGAGTACAGTCCAAGTCTACACACGAAGGCAAGCACGCGCACACGGGGATACACACGTCACATGTGAATGACTCAACGCTAAATACAAAAGCGCTCAATGAAAGCAACATTCGGGGAGTAAGAGGGCGAGCTATTTTTTTTTTCAACGTGTGCTTTGTTTCACGTTCACGTCAACAAAATGTGCTCTGGAGTTCGCGACAACACAAGTGAGCACAATTGAGCGAGCGGTTGGACTGACAGCCTCTGAATTGCTTGAGCCCACGGGCTGGTTAGTAGCCCACCATTTCAAACGCTTCCTGTCACGTTGCATTGAAAAGAGACTGCAAAGTGAGCCTGTCAGCTACATTTATGCGGAACATTTACATAAATTCTGTATAGCTTATAATTTGTTCCCACTTCCCAGAAAGGGTAAAAATGCCTACTTGGCAGTAATTTACCAGTGGACCAAACACGCACGGCAGCCGAACTGGATTTTTACATTTGAATGCCTCGTCAACAGTGTGGTTCAGTGGCCGCGGCAGACATATTTCCAATTGCTTTTAGGTCTGTAGAAATATTGAGAGAGCACTCCCACGAGGACGTTCCACATCGCATAACAATGCTGTTTTTTTCTTTCTCTGCGGCGCATCCCACCATCCCTCCCAACTAGCAGAGTCGTTTAATGGAATTGTGAATACCTGAGACCCTGTTTTCAAGAGGACATACAGAGAAGCAAGAAGCGTTCGTCTGAAATGGCAAAGAGGTCTCCGCAAAGAGGTCTCCAGAGCTATCTCATTTAACAGACAAAAATACCCCCCCCCCAAAAAAAAAACACATCCAGGAAGTGAGAAACCTTTTTCTGGCTTATCGCCTCGCCACATGTAACAGCTGCTCCGAGCGTCGCGGGGCGTGACAACACACACAAAACCTACACGTTGTACGTAGCTATACAAAACCAACACGTACACATTCAATCTGTCGTGCTAGCGTTCCGCTCTGCTGGAAAACTACAGATATACTCATGTATATGCAGACCACACACATACATATGCATACACCAAAACACACATACGCATATATATATATATAGTGACTGATCTTATTAAAATGCATATTGTGATGCATTCACAAATGGCTATTAAATTCACAACACATACAACAGCCTACTGCAATAAATACACGAAACAGATGCACTGGGTGACTATCAGGCTGAGTTCTAGAGCTTTCAAAAGGGCTAAATGGCTTCTTTTTCGTGAACTAAAGGGTAGGTTGGCATGACTTACATACAGAGAGGTAAGATAAATACATTGTGATGGAACGGAGGGAAGAGAAGAGACTCACACAAAGAGTCCCCCGCCCCGGGCATCAGAGACAAATTTCGCCGCAAGCATCGATGAGACGTGTGTCTGATGAAAGTGGTGATCGCGACGCGTTGACCGCTCGTCACGGATCGAGGAAGCACAAATTCCTGATTCTTTCTAATCTCCGCTTCCTATCACGCAAAGCAGTGGCGACTACGAATACACGCTGCTGAAGTAGAAAGTCAAATCCAAGAAGTGCATATACCCCTGCTTTTGTTCTGTTTTTTAAAGTGCAGCCATGATTTTTTTGGACTGCCAATATTTTCGCGGGTGTGATGATGGTGAACCCATTTTCAAACCATCGTCTCTGTCACCCATGAGTTTTTTTTCTGTGTCTGAAACAAATTCTTTTTTTTTTCACATAAGTATGGTTGTAAGCGCGCGCACACACACACGAACACATACACACATGCACGCACACGCACACGCACACACGTGCGCGCGACCACATAGACATGTGACGCCATTGGGAGCAGCTAAGGTATTGCAGATTGCAGCTCTGTCCATCAATGACAAGAGGCCACAAAGAATCAGAGCCCCCGCGAAGGGTGCGGTGAAATTAGTCGTCATCATGAGTGAGAGGCAATGATAGACTAAAAGCTGAGCACAAAGCAGCAGCAGCAGCAGCAGTGGAGACGATTCCACCTGGGCAGCCCTCCTCCCTGAGAGAAGAGTGAGAGAAGGAGGAAGACAAAGGGAGAGGGCGGTGAAAACACAAAGTGTGAAAAAAAGAAGGCAGAGGGAAGGTGCAAAAGAAAAGGGCTCCATCCTGACACCCCTGCCCAAGGTTTGAGCTCTCCAGGGGCTGCTGCGACTAGAAAGAACTGAGCTAGAAGTCCGTAGAGGGCAGTTTGAGGCCTAAGGAGCTGGTTCCTAGTGGGTCCATCATGTTCTTGTAGCGCTCTCCGCGGTGCTTCATCAAGAAGGGACCCCAGTCGGGCTGAGGGGAACAAACCAGCTTCAGACGCTGCGGGAGAAGAGACGGAGGTTGCTGCGTTAATCCTGAAACTTGCTTGCGTTTGTGTCAACTTGTGTCCCAATTATCCTGACATATGTACAATTATGTAGAAGAAAGAAATGCAGCTCAGAGTTATTCAACAGCCATGCAGTCAACGCAATTCTGCCGTAGACGTTTTCCATTCTTCCCATTTCATAATAACAGAAGGAAAATAGAATGGAAACAGCAACGTATGGGAGAGGTCTTCCCTCTCTGCATTCGTCTTTAGCAGGGGTGTTCAAATCCGGTGGTCATGCAAAAGATGCGCATGACCACTGAAATTCTCAAATTCGCAATGAACGATTGAAGCGGAATTGAATATTTACAAATGATAACTCATGATAAATGCAGACACAGCGTTAAAAAATGTGTGAAAATTGCGGATGTTTTTGTGGATCTGAAAAACACGTGTACATCATGTTGAAAATGTTTATTTAAAACTGTCAATGTAAAGTTAAATGTTTTATGATGTGATTAAACGCTACTTTAAAACAAACTAAACAAATGTGAACACTCAGCTGGCAGCATTGGTGATTTGCCAACAGTGCGCCTCTCTCGGTGATTACCTCAATTAAGGTGCCGGGAGCGAGGTACATCTTGATGACAAACATGATGGGGATCCAGATGACGGAACAGATAACCATTAGCCATGCAAGCACCATAGACCAGGTGGGGTAGGTGTATTCCTCGTATGTCATGACGCTCCACTGAGAAAGACTCAGCATCAAGATGCCCTGCATGAAATCAACAAATCCACAAAAGACACGTTTAAATACACACAGTAGCTCGATACATTTGGAATACTGACAAGTTCATTCAAATGGATGTAAAATGACAACCAAAAAGTCATTGCATCATACCCTATCAAACTGAGACGCGCCATATCAAATCGAATCGTAAACCCACTAAGTATATATTTGTGTGCTTGTGGGGGGGATTTTTTTGGGGGGGAGTGGGTCTACAACAGGCACTGTAGAATGAACTGTAAGAAATGACTTGACTCACGCTATAAGCTCCCTGCTTGATATCCGATAGACACAAGGACAGAGGACATAAAACTCTGTGATAAAGAATGGGCAAATGAAGAACAAAATAACTATAAACAGCACTTTCTACAGGAATCGAGGAAGTCGAGGAAATGGGCAATAAGGAACAAAGACAGAAATAAATTAGTGTGAATCAATGAGAAAACAGTAGCCCTCATGAGAACCGCGTGACGACCGGCCAGCTGAGTGTGGCTACATTTGTCATCGTCAGCTCTGCGTTGGTGCTACAGCGATTTTCAGCGCAATTACTAATATATATTCTGTCTCGTGGCCAATATTGAAAGGAAGGGAAGCTGCGCATTGGACACACTCTGCCAGAGAGCATGCGACTGCAACACATCACACGTAGTAAAAAATGAAAAATTTCCCCACTGTATCGTTAGAAAAGTGTGCAAACATTTGGTTTCCCAAAGAGGCATAATAACAATTGCATTTGAATCACGAGGAAAATCCTACATATCAACATAAGTAAAATGGAGGTCTTAGTTAAATACTCATTTAATACACATTTAGGTGAACAGAAAACTACGATTGGCTCGTCTCTAGCTCAAGCGTGACCTTGAGAAGTCCAAGTGGGACAAAATGGATGGGTAGACAGATAACCAAATGTATACAGTTGTTTTAAAGTATTCATGAAAGTGCTGGAAAATTAGCATTTTGACAAACTAGGAAAATAACTGTGAGGCCATTCTAAACAATAAAATAAAAATGCACCACAATGTTGTTGCCCTACTTTAAACCTGCTATCAAAAAACTATTTAGACTTTGTGACATGATAGGAATAGTAAGTCACTTTGCATTCTGTAGCCTTACTGGGAAATTGGAACTTGAAATGCAATAAAATGGACACTTTTAAACTCTGTGTGTGAGCGTATTCCCGTGTGCGTGTGCATGTGCGTGTGTGCGGGGCTTCACCGTCAGAATGGTTGGTGTCACAAAGGCCCAGCAAAGTCTCCAGAAGAGATTGGGCTGAAATCCAATCATCATTTCAATATCCTCGCAAAACCTTTGCAGCCCTGCATAGTGGAGGGGAAACGAATAAATGAAATAAGAGTCGAACTTGCGTGAAGTCACCAAACCGGGCTTTAAAAGGTTTCTTAAAGCAGATGACAAATTCCAAGCCAGGGAGTATCATCATTCTCTTGCCCAAGAAGGAGGATGGAGCAGGTGGCTTCATTCCTCATTCCTGTCGGACAAACGACGCCGAGTGGCATAAAGAGGCAGTCAATTGTGACATGGTGGCTGATGGCCAGGCAAACTGCGGGTGAACAATTTCATTTGCGCTGTGCGTGCATGCGAACGTTTGACTTTACAACAGAGACATCTAGTGGCCGACGCTTGAAAAACTAAGCTAAGTGCTGATTTCGATGAAACGTTTCAGATATCATTTTACCTTACTCGAGACGCTATCGTTAACCAGAAACAACACTGTGAACTTGAATTGAGGGGGACGTTTTAACAATAAAGACAGAAATCAATTAGTGTAAATTAATGAATGACGATTAGCTAGCAAACTTGCGGCTCCTTTGTCATTGTTAGCCTTGCTTTGGTGCTGAAGTCATTTTCCCCATAGATCTGCGAGAAAAACGCGGGCAATAGCGTCAAACGTGTTTAGTTACGTTCGCAGATCCTTGAGCATGGTCAACACTGAATTGGGCCAAGGACACGGTAAATATAGCGTAAAACGGAATGATGGCCAATTGGGAAGCGACTGCGCGCTTGCTGATGTTTGGCTTTACAACAGAGACATCTAGTGGCCAACGCTAGAATAACACACTTCACAAGGATCAGGTCGTCAAGTTATGAAAGCTAAGTGCTGATTTTGACCCAACATTTCAGATGTTATTTTACTATATTGATTGAACCTTACTTGAGACGCTATCTATAACTATAAACAGCACTGCGAACTTGAACTGAGAGAGACGGGAAACGGGTGTTAACGATACAGACAGAAATCAATGAGTGTAAATTGGTGAATGGCGATCAGCGAGGAAACTTTTGGCTCCTTTGTCATTGTCAGCCCTCCCTTGGTGATGAAGTGATTTTCCCCATCGATCTGCTCGAAAAATGTCAAACGTGTTCACGAGTTACGATCGCAGATCCTTGTGAATGGTTAACACTGAGTTGGGCCAAGTCGTGGACGGTCTCGATGAATATGGCGTAAAACGGAATCATAGCTAATTGGGAAGTGACCTGTTTGCTGGACACAAAAAGAGGAGCCGGTCTGTGTCTTCAGTGTTTGTGTAAAGTGTCTTTAACCACAATGAAAATGACAAGAAGAGGAAGCAACCGTAATTTAGTGAACAGTAACATATTTCCTCAAATTTTTAGCCACTTTTTTCGGGGTTTTTTTCTTTTTTTACAGGAGTACTATTCTTTCTCTGTTTTTGTATTTTCTGGCAGTCTGGATGCCTCGTGGCACCATGGTGCCTCCTCTTCTCAGTTTAGTCTTGACATTTGGTATGACTGACAGTTGCTTGTGGAGGCTCTCAGTCGTACAGGAAAGTTCCATCGTAGAAAGGGTTCTGTCAGTCGTCATCTGTACCTGTGGGTAAAAAACAAAAAAAAAAAAAACAAAAAACAATAAATACTCATTTAATACACATTTAGGTGAACAGAAAACTACGATTGGCTCGTCTCTAGCTCAAGCGTGACCTTGAGAAGTCCAAGTGGGACAAAATGGATGGGTAGACAGATAACCAAATGTATACAGTTGTTTTAAAGTATTCATGAAAGTGCTGGAAAATTAGCATTTTGACAAACTAGGAAAATAACTGTGAGGCCATTCTAAACAATAAAATAAAAATGCACCACAATGTTGTTGCCCTACTTTAAACCTGCTATCAAAAAACTATTTAGACTTTGTGACATGATAGGAATAGTAAGTCACTTTGCATTCTGTAGCCTTACTGGGAAATTGGAACTTGAAATGCAATAAAATGGACACTTTTAAACTCTGTGTGTGAGCGTATTCCCGTGTGCGTGTGCATGTGCGTGTGTGCGGGGCTTCACCGTCAGAATGGTTGGTGTCACAAAGGCCCAGCAAAGTCTCCAGAAGAGATTGGGCTGAAATCCAATCATCATTTCAATATCCTCGCAAAACCTTTGCAGCCCTGCATAGTGGAGGGGAAACGAATAAATGAAATAAGAGTCGAACTTGCGTGAAGTCACCAAACCGGGCTTTAAATGGTTTCTTAAAGCAGATGACAAATTCCAAGCCAGGGAGTATCATCATTCTCTTGCCCAAGAAGGAGGATGGAGCAGGTGGCTTCATTCCTCATTCCTGTCGGACAAACGACGCCGAGTGGCATAAAGAGGCAGTCAATTGTGACATGGTGGCTGATGGCCAGGCAAACTGCGGGTGAACAATTTCATTTGCGCTGTGCGTGCATGCGAACGTTTGACTTTACAACAGAGACATCTAGTGGCCGACGCTTGAAAAACTAAGCTAAGTGCTGATTTCGATGAAACGTTTCAGATATCATTTTACCTTACTCGAGACGCTATCGTTAACCAGAAACAACACTGTGAACTTGAATTGAGGGGGACGTTTTAACAATAAAGACAGAAATCAATTAGTGTAAATTAATGAATGACGATTAGCTAGCAAACTTGCGGCTCCTTTGTCATTGTTAGCCCTGCTTTGGTGCTGAAGTCATTTTCCCCATAGATCTGCGAGAAAACCGCGGGCAATAGCGTCAAACGTGTTTAGTTACGATCGCAGATCCTTGAGCATGGTCAACACTGAATTGGGCCAAGGACACGGTAAATATAGCGTAAAACGGAATGATAGCCAATTGGGAAGCGACTGCGCGCTTGCTGATGTTTGGCTTTACAACAGAGACATCTAGTGGCCAAGGCTAGAATAACACACTTCACAAGGATCAGGTCGTCAAGTTACGAAAGCTAAGTGCTGATTTTGACCCAACATTTCAGATGTTATTTTACTATATTGATTGGACCTTACTTGAGACGCTATCTATAACTATAAACGGCACTGCGAATTTGAATTGAGAGAGACGGGAAATGGGTATTAACAATAAAGACAGAAATCAATGAGTGTAAATTGGTGAATGGCGATCAGAGCGAGCAAACTTCCGGCTCCTTTGTCATTGTCAGCCCTGCTTTGGTGCTGAAGAGATTTTCCCCATCAACCTGCGAGAAAAATGTCAAACGTGTTCACGAGTTACGATCGCAGATCCTTGTGCATGGTCAACACATAGTTGGGCGTCGTGGACGGTCTCGAGGAATATGGCGTAAAACGGAATCATAGCTAATTGGGAAGTGACCTGTTTGCTGGACACAAAAAGAGGAGCCGGTCTGTGTCTTCAGTGTTTGTGTAAAGTGTCTTTAACCACAATGAAAATGACAAGAAGAGGAAGCAACCGTAATTTAGTGAACAGGCACATATTTCCTCAAATTTTTAGCCACTTTTTTGGTTCTTTTTTACAGGAGTTTGGATGCCTCGTGGCACCATGCTGCCTCCTTTCCTCAGTTTAGTCTTGACATTTGGTATGACTGACAGTAGAAATGCTGCAGAACAGTAAGTGTGTTAATGCTGTGTTGGTCATCTCGAGTACATCACACACACACTATGAATCATACATTTTAAAAATCGGTCAAGATGTAAAAAGTCAGCGTGTGTGTGTAAAACCCACTTCAGCTTATCCCCACTGAATAAGAATGAAAGCTTCCTGGGGCAAGAAAGAAACCAAAAGAATGAAAATGTAGGGTGGCGTTAAACGCTGACATTATCAAACCACAGCTTTGTCAACGTGACTCAAGTTTTATTAAACCCAATCGTGACCTTCTAAAAAGGATGACCTATCACGATGCCAGAAATATGAGGGAAAAAAATAAAGTTTCAGGCTACCGCCGAACAGTTAAGTGTACTCACCATAGAGATAAGAAATCCCCACTAGCTCAAAGATGGCAATGATGACTAAGGAGTAGGAGGCTGCATACGTGTCCACCAACTGCAGCATGTACATGCCATTCTATCGCACACACAAAGATAATAATTACGCGGAACATTTCACACTAACTCATGCATAAGAAACGGCTCGCGTGAAGCACTTCAGGGATTCAAATTGTCTCGGCCGCATGATACCTCCGTGATCATGGGAAATCCCAGGATGAAGAAGGCGATGCAGCAGACCAGGGTGAAGATTGGTTTGTGCTTCCTCAAGTACTTGGGGAACTCGTCTGACACAGAGGTCACGATGGTCTCAATGGTCGCAAACTGAGAAAGGAAAGAGCAAAGGGGGGTGGGGCACGGAAGCAATGGTTGGAAATGAGACATTGCATGGGCAGTTTTCCACAGTCAGCTTGAAAAAGGTTAGGTCACTGATTCATTGCTTTTAAAAGTGACTAAATGTAAGAAAGGCAGTCTTTCACTTGACATTCAATGACTCGCGTTGTCATGGCAAAACTGAACATTTATAATGGAAATTGTTACAAAATACCGGTATTACGATTCAATTTGGGAATCTTCTGGGAGTCACACATTGTGGTGGAACTTTCTCTTTAAACTTTTTGTGTTATTGAAGCTAGACAACCCTCTATCAACAGTGCAGAGTGTGCAACAAACCCAAATGTTTTTGTTCTTAGCTGATACAAGCGCAAAAGAGTGACCGTATTTCCAGCTTGAAAATGTCAAGTCTTGTCAATTCTTTCTCACTGCCGCCACCTCGAGGGAGTTGACTGCAATTGCCTTTGCTTGTGGAAGAAGGTATTGTACAACACTTTTTAAATGACAGTCCTGACATCACCTTCGGATGCTGCTGCATTTCTGTAGAAGATATTTTCACCGTGTTCCCAAGTATTTGTCAAATGAAATCAAAATATGTATTTATCCCAATCTTGAGCAGGAACAAATTGAAAAACAAAATCAATGCGAAGGGTTTCGCCCCAAGCAGACCCTGCAGGCAGAGACCGTCAAGAGTTTAAGCTACGACAAGATGGTAAAAAAGGGCTTGGCGTCCTCGGAGAAAAGAGGATGGATAGACAAACATACAAATGACAGTGGTGGCTCCGTGCTCGACGTGTGTGTGTGCGTGTGTGTGTGTGTGTGTGTGTGTGTGTGTGTGTGTGTGTGTGTGTGTGTGTGTGTGTGTGAGTGTGTGTGCGCGAACCTCGCGGA